GTTGTGGAGTGGCCGCTACTGGCTGGGATAGACCACCCGGGCGGAGACCGAGCCCTTCCTACTGGGGAGGAATTCGTTTAGGGAGGGGGGCGTGTGCCGGGCGCTGGGGGCCCGGGGTTTAGCGGGTGGGGCTGCACGAACTTCCAGACCGCCTCTGCGTAAGGCCCTTCCGCAGCCTGGTGTCTGGAGCGAATTTCTGGCGTGAGGGATTGCCAGATCTGCATTTCCAATTTGGAAACCTTGAGTTGGGTAGGTTTTCAGAAATAATATTGTTATTCTTTTGTTCTACACATAGGAAAGTAGGAAAAGAAACTCTCCCAACCAAATTGCGGTAAATTAAACGGAACTTGGGAGTCTAACGTCACTTCTCTACTACTGACCTTCATGAAGCTTTCCTTTTAGTAACTGTATATTCAGAAGGATGTTCGCCAGATTTTTCAGACAGTTGAGAATGTGATTATGTGCAGAGTGGTCGTGGGGCCTCTTATGGTACAATCTCTCTTGATAATGGGACTGTTTCTCAAAAGCAATACTGAATTTGGAAACATCTGTTACTTAGAAGATGTGATCTAGTAGAACTGTTTTCGGAGTAAAAATCTTCATTTAGTCAAATATTTATTTACTGTTTTAACTAATGTTGACCCCTTTCGTTACTTAGAACAAAGAAGACAAAAATTCAAGGAACATCTGTTAAGAAGAAAAACAGTTTTTGCACACAAACAGGAAAATCAGATAGTATCCAGGTGAGGTTAAATTTATTTCAGTTTTGTAAAATTATACCAGAACTGTGCAACAACATAATGTATGCCACATCTGTGATTTAAATTTTTCTAGTAGCTAGGTTTAAAAAGTTCTAAGAAGAGGAAATGATTTTTTAAGAACATTTTATTTAATCCAGTATATTCCCAGTGTTATTTCAACATGCACTATTAAAACGTTTTAATATATTTTTATATTGGGACCAGCATTTGCATTATGGCTATGTTACTGGACTCCCATGTAGTCGACCGTGGTTCGAGTCCCGGACCCAGTGGCTTAAACTCATGTCTCGTGCATGTGTGTGTATGCCCATGATCCCAGGAGGAGAATGGAAGAAAAAGGATTGTGGCATGGCCATTCCCCGGTGGTGGGGGGAGGGGTGACCTCTCACTTTCTCTCTCTCTGTCTGTCTCTGTCTTTCTGGTGAGCGCACATGCTCTATAGCAAAAACCTCTCCAAAAATAAATAAATAAAAATAAGTGAATGAATAAAACAATTGAAAATTTAAAAAAAAGTAGATCTAAGTTCAGTTCTTGCCTCAATTAAAAATATGAAGTAATGTAGCTAATTTTTTAAAGAATTACTTAGTTTTATTTATTATTGCTGTTATTATTATTTAATTTGCTACAGAGAACATGTGCTCAACAGAGAAAAACAGAGAGAGAGAAAGTGAGAAAACAAGCCGCCAGGTCTGGGACTCAAACCATGTCGGCCATGTGGGAGTCCAGAGTCTTAACCACCATGCCACCTGCTGGACCCCGTAGTTAATTTTCAATTTTCTCACATTCTTGTCCCAAAAAGGAAACTGCATTGGTACAGATCTAATTTATATATTTTTTTAGTAGTAGAGGCCAGAGAGTGATGACTCCTGAGGTCCAGGTTGAAGAAAGGAAAAATGTTCAGAAACTTAAAACAGAAATGGTAAGATGTGGATATAACACTCATAACTCACTTTTTTCCCTTTCACTTTCTTAAACTCTTCCTAAAAGTAGTAATTTCTGAAAGACCGATTTGCTTTAATTCTTTTAGGCTGATAAAGAAAATGCCAGTAGACCCACAGTGAGCAAAAATGATGCAGTAATGGGGAAAAAATGCATTCCTTTAAAACCTTCAAATGAATTAACCAATTCAACTACCCCAGTTGCTACACATAATTTTGATGATGCCAATCAAACTCTGCAGTTGTTATCGATTAAAGATGATCCCCCAAATCAACATATGACATTAAGCCAGGCATTTCACTTTAAGAATAATAATAAAAAGAAACCAATCACTACAGAAAAACCAAAGCAAGATGTTAATGTGCCCAAGAAACCTATCCTTGGATCTTATCGTGGCCAAATTGTGCAGTCTAAGGTTAATTCATTTAGAAAACCTCTACAAGTCAAAGATGAGAGTTCTACAACAACAAAGAAACTTTCAACTACTGTCTCTAAAGTCACAAAGCCTCAACCTGTAAGTATCAGCACTGTAACAGTAAAAAGTGGCAGATCCTCAAATCTGTCCACTACCACTAAATCTGTGAGCACTACATCCCAGAGCACACAACTTGTTCGACCTCCTATAAGAAATCACCACACTAATACCTGGGAAACAGTGAAACAAGGAATCAGTAGGACCTCTGCCAATGTTACAATCCGTAAAGGGCCTCGTGAAAAAGAATTATTACAATCAAAAAAGCTTTTATCTAGTGTCGCAACCAGTTCTTCTGAGGACATAAAAAGAATTAAGCCACCATCAAGAAGCATCACATCTGAAATTGTAGCCAGGCCTGCTTCATCTTCTAATACCAAACTAATAGAAAAGTCAAAATCCATTGAGCAGCGAAGACACACTATAGCAAAAGTAACTACTGATAGTAGATCAGCCCAGCCCAAAGAAACAGCAGAAGAGAGAAAGTAAGTGGATGTAATTTTTTTCATTTATTACCTTAATTTTCAATAAAGTACCATTTGAATTTGACTTGTAATTTTCTTGAATGTTTTAGAATTTTCTCTTGTGGATTCTTCTCGTCATATGCAAGCAGATTTATATTGTAGAATAATATAACCTAAAATATATAACCTAAATATTAACTGGGTTTTGGTATTACTTTTTGTAATCTAAGTGCTTAATAATTGGGGTAGCATTTTATCACCTCTTCATTTAAACACACATTCTTGGGGCCTTTGAGCACATAATTGATCTGGTATGTTCAGTATTTCTTTTTCTTTAAACATGTGAATTATGTATGTGCTGCTAGTGTAGAACTACCTAAGGACCCGAACTATTGTTTTAGAATGATTTTATTTAACTCTTTTTAAAAATTATTATATTTATTTTTAATTTGACAACCGAAGGACAGAAAGAAAGTGAGAAAACAAGCCACCAGGTCTAGGACTCAAACCGTGGTCGGCTATGTGGGAGTCTAGCGCCCTTAACCACCACGCCACCTACTGGCCCCAGGACCTGAACTGTTAATTTTTTCTGTATTTGATAGAATTCCATTATTGATATCAAAATGATATGTACATACTGCTTCTAACTGTAGAGCTCGTCTGAGTGAGTGGAAAGCCAACAAAGGAAGAATGGTGAAAAGGCCACCTAATTCAGTGGTTACCCAGCCTGAGCCTGAAGCACAAAATCAAAAACCAGTTGGGTCCTTCTGGACTACCATGGCAGAAGAAGACGAACAAAGATTATTTACTGAAAAAGTGAATAAGACATTTTCTGAATGCCTGAACCTGATTAATGAGGTAGAGTTCTTATCTTGGATTTGTATGACATTTTATAGTTTGCAAATTACTTTCATAAATATTGTCTGATTAAACTATATTGTATTATATCACTCTTGACCAAATGATATCAGTTAATATGATTGTGACATTATACTGCTTAATTAATTATGTTATACTGCTTAAATTAATTGTGAGATTGTTACCTTTGAGTTATGAATATTCTTTTAAGATAATATACAGAGGACTAGGTTGATACTTTTCATTTGTATTTCTGTTTCTTAAATTTGTTCAGCATATTTATAAATTATTTTTCCACTCATTACATATTTTGCCAAAGACTAGCAAAACAAATTATTATTAATACTCATTATGTGATTGTTAGTTATTATTATAGATTAAATTCAAGTTAAAAATACTCTCAAATGAAATTCCATTAATCTAAATCAACATAGTAATGATCTTGAGTTTATTATAGAATTTTGCTATTTTGACCAAAATCCTCTGGAGTATAATCAAACTCTAGGATATTTATTTTCTTTCTTTCTTTTTTTTTTTGGAGAAGTTTTTGCTATAGGGCACGTGTGCTTGCCAGACAGACAGAGACAGAGATATAGAAAGTGAGAAATCAACCCCAAGAGGGGATGGCCACACTGCAATCCTTTCTCCTCCATTCTCCTCTCGGGATCCTGGGCATGCACGCACATGCACCCAGCATGCGGTTTAAGCCACTGGGTCCGGGACACAAACCGCGGTCGACTACGTGGGAGTCCAGCGACATAGCCATTACGCTAACTGCTGGTCCCTAGAATATTTATTTTATTTCTTGACAATTCTTTTTAATCTTGCTCCAATCTTCCACTCATGTATAAGATCCATAGCAACACTGAACACAGGGTATGATTTCATACCTTAACTCTAGTCTTTATTTGGGCATCTTGAAACCTTTTGTAGTTCTGAGGACCAACCAAAGAAAGTTATATTTTGTTGTTATTTCTGATTGAGTTGTTTCGATACTATGGAATTTTTCTGCCCCAGTATTTAACTGAGTGTAACCATTGATTCATCATAACTTTAATAACAAAACCCTACAAAAATATTTAAGGAAAAGAAACCCTGGAGGCTATTCTCAATCATTAAATTTGGTAGATAAAGGGGCCAGCAGGTGGTGTGGTAGTTAATGGTGCTGGATTCCCACATGATTGACTGGTTCAAGTTCCGGACCTGGTGACTTGCTTTCTCCCTTTCTGTTCTTCTGTCTCTCTCTGGTCAAATTAAAAAATAATAACAAATAGAATTCAATAAAAATAAATAATTATTTAAAAATTTTTTTTTAAAAATTAGGTAGATGGGGGCTGTCAGGTGGCATGGTGGTTAAAGGCACTGGACTCCCACATGGTCAACTGCGGTTCGAGTCTTGCTGAGTCCAGTGGCTTGCTTCCTCACTTTCCCTCTCTCTCTGATCAAACTGGAAAATAATAATAAAGAAAAGAAGTTAGATAAAATAATTCTTTAAAAAAATTAGGTAGATGTAAAAATTTTAAGAGAGAATTAACAGATGGAATTGAACAATATATCAAGATAAACATCAAGAGCAAGTAAAGTGTTAGTCATTTTCTTTTTCTTTTTTAAGAGTTTTTTTGATACAAGGTGCATGCATTCACTTGAGAGACAAAGAGACAGAAAGTGAGAAATCGGTCCCTGGGGGATGACCATTTTGCAATCACTTCTCCATTTTTCTCTCAGGATCTTGGGCATGCATGTTCATGCATTTGTGTGAGTTTTAAGTCACCAGGTCTGGGACTTGAACCGTGGTCAACTACATGGGCATCTAGTGATATAACCATTATGCTATCTGCTTGTCCCTTTTAGTCATTTCTTAATATATATATCTCAACTAGTATTTCACCTTTTGATGTCTTATACTCACAGCTCATAGACTTATTGTTAGCCAAAAGTTTAGAGTAGGTGGATGATAATAGTGAATGCTTTTATGACTAATTTTCTATTAACTTTTTCCATATTTACTATTGATCTTGATGATAATAAGCTTAATATTTATTAATTGTTCTTAGTTTGTATGTTAAAAAGAAATGACACACTTTTTCTTGCTGTTTTAGGGATGCCCAAAAGAAGAAATATTGGTCACACTGAATGACTTGATTAAAAATATTCCAGATGCTAAAAAACTTGTTAAATATTGGATATGTCTTGCACGTATTGAATCAATTACAAGTTCTATTGAAGATATTATTGCAATTTATGAGCAAGCCATTCTGGCAAGGGCTCAGGTAAGATTAAAATTTACTGATCTTTTTTCTTACAGTATAAACTACTTAACAGGTTTTTTGTAAATTATTTTAACTTATTTATTTATTTATTTTAATTTGACAAGAGAAGGGCAGAATAAGAGAGAGACAGGGAAAATAAGAAAGCAAGCTGCCAGGTCCAGGACTTGAACCACAGTCGGCCATGATGATGGAGTTCAATGCATTTAACCACCATGACACTTGTTAGCCCCTCAACAGTTATTTTTGAAACACATCACAGTGTACCCTGATAAAATTGTAGGTATATAGGAAGTAGTAATGAATATTTGAAGGCTACAAGGATTGCATTAAAAAAGCTGTTTCTGGGAACCAGCAGTTAGCGTAATGGCTGTGTCACTGGACTCCCACGTAGTCAACCACGGTTCGTGTCCCGGACCTGGTG